TAAAATTGTGTAATTAGTTTTTGATTTCGTCAACATTTAGTACTCCATGCATGTACCGCAAATTTAATGTGATGAAGAATCTTCTTTTTGTATAGTGTCAAAATTTGGATTCTGGGTGAACTAAATATGGCCTTATTCTTAGACTCATTCTAGTCTTGGACTCATTCTAGAAATTGCTCTATGTACAACTTTCAATGGAGCAATTTTTGTCCTATATCTGTATCTTATATTTAAGTTTTGAATGAAATTTACCGTTTCAAAAAAAAGGTTACATGCTAATTAAATTGGCTATATCATGACAATTTATACTCATGAAATTATGTCATGTCCAAAGTTGCAAAATAAAAAAAATACCATATCAAATAGTGCATGCATCAATTAAATTTAGAGAGAAGATTTTTACATCTAAAACATTTTTTAATTATACTTATTTTACTAAACTAAAAAATTTATAAATATATATTTCACATATTACCTCCTAAAAAGTAACAGATGATCCTACCCACCATCGGATCATATCTTAATAAATAAACGGCTCATATTTATTTAGATGTACCATAGCAAAGCTCCTCATACACAGTATCTTCGTAAACTTCACGACAGTTATGCAAATGCTCCACCCTCCAAAGATTGGTTTGATCATAGCCTCAAATTATGGGAACATATCTGCTCCTCATACACAGTATCTTCGTGGGAGGAACTTCCTCCCACGACTTTTGCAAATCCCTTATGCAAATGCTCCACCCTCCAAAGATTGGTTTGATCATAGCCTCAAATTATAGTGTGCTTTCTCAGAAATCGTGCTGAAAGGAAAGAAGAAATGGAAGAGCCAAATTCCAATATAACTTTACACCGGAATGAAAGCAACTGCTACCGGGTGAAAAAAAAATGTCTGATTGAATTGCAACCAAGAAAAAATGTTTTAGTCTGTATCCACTAATGGTTTAGTATTATTTATGTATGGAGGAAGAAGCGATTGCAGTTTGAGGAGTTAGAATACTCATTTGGCAACTGAAATTGAAGGAAAGAGTAGCATCAAGTGTGATACACCAGTGCAAATTAATCTGGCAAAAATGTTAAAAAAAATTAAATCTGGCAAAAAGATGCATACGACCACAAGGTTAAGAGCCTTGCGCTCTACCGACTGAGCTAGACAGGCTCTGCTGATAACTGCATGGAAAGTTTGAGATAAACTTATGATTCACACAACAACAAGCAGATCGATGTCCCTTTGATGTAAGAGCCCAGAATATTTGCAATTCAGATCTCTAACCCATATCATGCTTCTCTCTGCATCAGTAACTTACTAGTATCTTCTGGGCGAAGAAGCAAACGTGTAGCCTCTTTTGACAGTGATTTTGCTAAGGCCTTGTATTCATCTCAATCTACGTGTGTTGAAGTGTATTGGAATAGAATTAAACTAAATTATCTTTCATTCCACTCCAATACATGTGAATTGAAGTGAATACACATGCATCCAAATAAGGCATAAAATGGCTTTAGGGGGATCTGAATCATATCCATCAGGCTCTTAAGAGCCTGTTCGGCTGATGGTTTCTGCGGCTGATAAGCCGATTAAAACTGATTTATTATGAGAGAAAAACACTGTACCATGACTGATAAGTGAGGCTGATAAGTCCAACTCTTAGATACGATACCGTCTCCTGTTTCGATTGATGTTGCTCCCCGTCACCTACGCTAGCTCATCATGTGGCCTTTTATGTGTATACCAAGCGTATTATGCTAATTCAGTAGCGTGTGAAGCCGAGTGTAGATATACGTTTGTATCTTAAAAGGTCAAAATGATGTATAATAATATAGTTTAAAACCCACGGAGTATATATATTTATAATTTGACATTGGGCGTAATTTTCGAGTAAAGGGAAAGGGACTTGATTGTCATTTGTGTACATGTTGGAAAATTTAGACACGAATGAACACAGAGAGACCGAAAGCACGAGAAGCTAACTACTTCCTCCGTCCCACAAAACATGTGATCCTGTGGTTCAAATTTTATCTCACAAAACATGTAATCCTCCGTCCCACAAAACATGTAATCCTAGAGTTTATGTCATCTTTTCAGGTGGACTCCACGGATAAAAAACACCACATCTTTGAAAAAACAGGCATTCCAAGCTGTACTTTGAAGGAATGTTATAGATTCCTCTTGAGTTCTAGCCCACGAGAGAAGGATACAAGAGAGGCACATGTATAATTTTATACCTCCACTAAATTTAGCTTAAAAAGCGAGATTTACGTGCTTTGACGGAGGGAGTACGTAGCAGTAGCTAGCTAGCGGGTGCGCTGCCGACGTGCCGTGGCGAACTGGCGGCATCATCATCGGAACTCGGAACACGGAAACGTGCGCAGCCGCCCAAGGTCATGCAGATGCATGCAGATGCCTGCCTGCCCAGTGCCCAGCGCTCCAAGGCAGCTGCTGCCGACACTGTTTGCCCTGGCGACGAATGCAAAATGATTGAGGACTGTGTGGTGTCTGGGAAGCACTGGCCCACGTGGCTGCCCTGCGCCTGACACGTGGCGGGCGACCACCTCACCATCAGTGAATCAGCAACAGCTGCGTGTCGTACCCGATCGGTGAGCCATCGCAGCTGATCCATCTCGTCTGATGAAGTGATGAATACACACATTCTCAGCCAGCCTGCAGCAGGGTGCCAGGGTACGCCTATTGGTTCGTTTTGATTCCCCTACAAACATCTCCAAACACACAAGTTGCTCTAAATTATAAATAATCTTAACTTCTTAGATACATAGTTTTTATTGTGTATTTAGAGATAATATATATTTATTATCTAGACATATAATAAAAACTACATCTACTTATAAAACCAAAAATACTTACATTTTAGGATGGAGTAAATATTATTTACTTCCTCTGGTTATTGTTTTAGAACAGGATCGAGTCAAATCTTAAAGACTACTACAAACATATACTATATTTAAATTTAAATCTTGTAGTATTAAGTCATGCAAGATATATAGTAACTTTATATTTGCACACATCATGAATTTGAAGAACCTTTTAGAAAATATATATACCGTCTCCATCTTAGAAAAGTACACCGCTACCTCTAACGTTAAATCAAACTATCTTTAACCATTTTTAAAATACTAATATTATAAAAACAAATGGTATCAATTTTATCATCTAATATAGTTTTATATAGTATATCTATTTAGAATCTATAATCGTTGATACTATTTCTTAGAAATTTGGTTAAGCTTAGATTACTTTATTTGAGAAAGAAAGAAATTACTTTATTTGAGAACGTGTACTCTTTTTAGGGGAGTGTTCTTGAAGATATTAGTGATGCATGGGTAAATGTGTAAAATGAAACATAACATGACAAATATTTTTTACCCGAGGAAAGTGAGTCTCGCTGAAGAAATACGGTCTTAGAGTATCTTGAATCTTTATAAAATTCACTTTATAAATTATTATATAGATAGTCATTGAAATATAATCATTTTTTCTATCTTTTCACTCGCTAACAACTTGTCTATATCTGATGCGCACTCTAGAAAGTTAATCTCACCTTGTTCTTTAGCGTGAAATTTGAAACATAACATGATACATTTGAAGAGTTAATTAAAAAAGCTATTAGAGAGTATTTATCTCAAAGTATCGACGAGGAAGGATATAGAAGCTCTCTTACATTTCTACGGATATTGTGGTAATTACGTCGTACCCGAGGGGGTCTTGAGTAAAATGAAAACGACGGGTATCTTCTCTGCTACCACTTTCGACGTGGCCCAAAGATTCACGCGTCCAGGGTCAAGCCATGGCGCGTGTGCGCATCGCCACCGTCGGCGCCGCCCCATGCCTGCGCCGACGCCCGGGATGCGGCGGAATATGTTCCGGGGCCCCACGTGGAACCATCCGGAGGCATACGGAGGATACACTTCCGCCTCGATCCATTGCAGCTGCAATCTCCTGCCCTTTTCCTGTAGCCGTAGGGGAGCGAAGCCATAAAGGAGACTACGCGGCGCGGCGGCGGAGGCGGGGAGAGAGACGGGCGCGGCGGGGAGCGAGCGGGGCTAGGCGACGCTCCTTCCAGTTCTTTTCTCCATGATTTCCTTCTGTGAGTTGAGGGTGCTCTGTGCTATGCTCCGCTCCTTTCCACCCCGTCAATTTCTGGGCTCCATTTCGGTTGCTTGTTGCGGAGATCAAATGTGTTGATACAGCGCAGATTCATTCGTCTCCTTAATTTCGCTTATTATCCGGAAACCCGCTGCTGCGGAGTGCTTGTCCAGGCTCCAAGCCTCTCTTTTCCTTGTTACTTTCCTACTATTCATGTTCTGCGTTGACAACTGACCTATATATAAGAGTACTACTACTACTACTTCTTGGGTTCTCATAGTAGCTTTAGAGTTTAGATTGTTGCTTCATCGTTGTGTGCTTTCATCAACAATATATATAGCCCATAAACATATATATAAACCACATATCTCGGCTTCATATGATTTTTCAAGTACTATGACTGTGATGCTACCTATTGCCGCTTCATACATAAGATTGCTTTGCTTTCTTAGTAATTATCACACGCCACTCACCAATCTATGCTTATGATAGTGTGTCAAGTTCAAGTATATGTATGATCATTCCTGCTCAACTTATGAACTGTGAGCCACGGGTAATGCCTAATTCAATAGGCTGCCTGTCGAGGTGAATGTGAGCTTAGTCTATCCTTGATCGAAATTGGATCGCACGTGCTGTTTATGGTTTAAAACAATTCTAGGATCAAACTAATTTGTTTGTTACAACTTCTAAAGTTTAACCACTAATTAATGGCATAAAGCCTTCCCCTAGCATGACCGGTTGGCCTGTTGATCATGTTGGTTACACTTTGTCATATCTGTGATGTTTTTCTTTATTCATGTGCTTTAATTTAATTGCAGGAGATATTCACAGGGGTTATATGTAGCCTTTCCAGACTCATGTGATTGACCTTCTCCTTAATGTTCTGATCAAGAGTGTTGCCATGGTTAAAATATTGTTTGGCCCATCCATTGTGAGAATGGTCTGGTTGCAAGACCAAATTGAAATGCACAAGCTCCACTGGTACAGGAGAGCCCCTACTCCATCAGAGTTCTGGATACCACTTGCTGCTTGGTTCACTGTTGGCCTAGTTGGTCTTTGGACATTTTTTCACTTCTTTTCATTGTGGCGGCGAAAGATCAGTTTAAGCTGGATGAAAATAATTGCCAGATCGAAGAGGAAGAATTTTGAAAGAAACCATGAGGTTCCTACTGCTGAACATGTTTGGAACACAGAATCTTTGATTCGTGCAAAAGGGATGAAGTGCTGTGTATGCTTGGAATCTCTCTCACCTGCTCAGCCCCTTGGGCAGATGATGACTTCAGAAAATATGGTTCACCGTTGCAATGTTTGTGGTGCAGCTGCGCACATAATATGCTCTTCGAATTCTCAGAAAGATTGCAAATGCGTCTCAATGTTCGGGTCCAAACATGTGGTCCATCAATGGACTGTAGTCTGGACAGACGTAGCCGACCAATCCGAAGAAGGTCAGTACTGTTGTTACTGTGAGGAGATATGCAGTGAATCTTTTCTGGGAGGTCCTCCCATATACTGCTGCATGTGGTGCCAAAGACTGGTGCATGCTGATTGCCAGTCAGCCATGGCTACTGACACAGGTGAAATTTGTGACCTTGGTCCCTTCAGGCGCCTTATCCTGTCGCCACTTTTTGTCCGGGCCATTAGCAAACCTGGTGGCATCTTGAGTTCTATAACTCATGGAGCAAATGAGTTTGCATCCACTGTGCGGGGGCGTTTAAACCGGACTAAAAAGGAGAAACATCACAACAGATTTCCATCTGACAGTAACGATGATTCATCAAGTGATACCACATTGAACTCAAACCAGAGGGCTGGGGAATTAAAAGAAACTGGGGGCAGTGCTCAAAGGAGTCCTGAGAATGAGCATTATAGCAGTGAGAGTGATGGTAGAGAACTGATATCAGAGTCCAGAAAGATCAGCAACAATGAGACTGGTGAAGTTAAACTTAAGTACGCATTGTCTGAACTGCCTGCTGATTCCAGACCTCTTTTAGTTTTTATCAACAAGAGAAGTGGGGCTCAGCGTGGAGATCTTCTCAAGCACAAGCTACATTTTCTTTTGAATCCGGTGCAGGTCATGATACTTCTCACACTAAACTTCACTTAAAGTCAAGTCACTTCTCATCTAGTCAACTTGTCATGGTACCCATCGATTTTGTAGAATATGCCCATTGCATTACGAGTTGGGTTCTTGCATTTACTTAAACTGATCCATGTGATGCTGGATCACATCATATTATGTGAGGAAATCATCATGATCAATCTTATCTCATGTTTCTAGCGCTATCCCCACTTAAAATAAATCCATTTTCTCTGTGCTAATCAGTAGCAAGTAGTAACCGCATGGTCAAGAGGAGTGCTTAAGCCTAGATTTTTTTTGGACATTAGGTAATTCAGATAGTATAATTTACTGCATCTATAGTGAGATACAACAGTGTAAAAAATTGAACCCTTTGAAGAAGCAGCACCATTTGCCTACATCTGCTGCTGTTGGTGGTCAAAGAGGAGTGATTAAGCCTAGATTTTTTTGGACATTGGGTAATTCAGTTAGTATAATTTACTGCATATACAGTGAGATACAACAGTGTAAAATTGAACGCTTTGAAGAACCAGCACCATTTGCCTACATCTGCTGCTGTTGGTGTTGGATCATGTGTAAGAGACTTAGTTTCCATCCTACTAGAAACATAGGCACACAGTTGAACAGAAACTGTCAATGTGCTTGAAAATTTGAAGGCTAGTGTTCTGTTTTTGGTTCTGGGTTGGGCCTCCAGGATGTGGTCTTTCTGCGGGTAGTGGTCTTTCACTAGTCGATGTGTTTTTGGTCCAACCTGTCCTGTAAGGTCATGGAGTACGGGGCTGTGGCCTTTCTGCAGGTAGGGTCTTTCACTAGTTCATGTGTTTTTTGTCTGACCTGGCTTGTAAGGTCGTGGAGTACGGTCATGTAGACCCTGTCGAAGGGGGTTTGCCTGTAATCCTTTTGTGTTTTATTCTTCTAATATAATTTGGCAAAACTCTTGCGACCTTTCGAAAAAAAGTGTTTTCATATATATTTCAGCACCCCCACCTTAGCAAATGCTTTTCAGATATTTATGATTTCTGTGTTTCTAATGTTCCATATTATTCATCTAGGTTTTTGAATTGAGTTCTTCACAAGGGCCAGAAACAGGATTATTTTTGTTCAGAAAGGTACCACATTTCAGAATACTTGTGTGTGGTGGCGATGGTACTGTTGGTTGGGTTCTTGACGCGATAGATAAGCAAAATTATGAATCACCTCCACCTATTGCAATTCTTCCAGCTGGCACTGGCAATGATCTTTCGAGAGTTTTATCATGGGGAGGTGGCCTAGGTGCTGTTGAGAAGCAAGGTGGCCTCTGCACAGTTTTACATGACATAGAGCATGCAGCAGTCACTATCCTGGATAGATGGAAGGTGACAGTAGAAGATAAGAAATCAAAGAATGTGCTTTTAGTAAAGTACATGAACAACTATCTAGGTAGGTACATAGAAACTTCATTTATTGGCACCCCTTGTCGAATAACCTTAGTTTACTATGGTGACAGGTATCGGTTGTGATGCAAAAGTCGCCCTTGACATTCATAATCTCCGTGAAGAAAATCCTGAGAAATTCTACAGTCAGGTAATGTTTGTATAAGCAATATACAGTAGTTGGCCCTTGATTTTAATGTTTGGCTTCTTTACAAATTTATACTTGTGTCCCTGTTCGCATTTATTTTTTAAGAAACAAGGGTAGTACAGCTGGCTGTTACTTGAAATGTAGTGTTATTTCGATGTTATCAGCTGTAAGCTGGGCTTGTTGATGCTTGCAGCTCAAACATTTCTTCTGAATCCTTTGCCCTTTATCAGGCGCGAATGTAATTCCTGGGTTTGTGTGGGGTTGTGTGTGGTGTGTGTTGTAGGGCTCTAGCCCCTTTCATTCTTCTTAATATAATGAGGCGCAGCTCTCTTGCGTTTTCGAGAAAAAAAAACATTTCTTCTGAAGATTGAACTTTTAGGTCCCCTGTAAATGTATGAAAGTTTTGAGGTGCTTGTAGGCATATTGAACTATTTGGTGCCATTGGTTCATGCCTGAGTTATATGTAATTGTTGAGTATAGTAGTGCTTAATGGAGAACCAATTGAACTGTACTTGAATTGACATTATTGACTGTGGCAATCTTTGATGACTTCAGCTTTTTGTTGAGTGGATAACTAATCCGTCAACCCATGCTTTGCTTCTCCATGGGCTAATAATTTTTAAAGGACATAACCGTTAGAAGTTTGTGGAAAAATTTGGGCCTAGTGCTATTCAGAATAGTTTCTGTCTGCTCTCTTATCGTCCATATTCTAAAAAAATACTCATAGATACTTTTATCTTTATTCAATTCTGTACTTTACTAGTACCATCTATTCTATATGCTTTTCCATCACCATGCATGCTTTCCCTCTTTGCATAGCACCTCCACACCTTAGTTTGAGCTGTGTTTGACATGGAATGGGTGTGATGTGGTCAGTGGTCTGCATGGTGCCATGATGGTACACATCATGAATTCATACCTTGAGTTAGTTCTATATTAACAATGCAGAAGTGGGTAATTTAGAAGCATATATAGGAGGACTTTGGGATATTTTTTTAATGACAGGTAGGTCATTTAGATGTATATCTATGAGCTTGCTTTTGGTTATTTTTAACAACATCAAAAGTGGGGTAACTTAGATGCAAATTTAGGGAATAGTTCAGATTATCTTTCATAATGACGTAGGTGAGTAATTTAGATGAAGATTTAGGGGATTTACTTTAGGTTATTTTCATAATGGCAGATTTTGTAAGTTTGATATAGATTTAGGGGGTTACTTTTAGACTATTTTTTATAATTGCAAAAGCCGACAATATTTTATAGAAAACAAAATATGTCTGACAACTATTATTGTCACTGATGATTGGAGTTTACTGAATTGATGGCTGAATGTTTTTGTTTCACGTGAGAAGAATTCATATGGTTTATCTTTTTTTTTTGTAGCATGTCTCGTGATGACTAATGTGGAGGCCTTTTTACTGAGTCTTTAATTCGTAATATTAAGATGGATCTTATGTTTCTTTCTTGGGTTTCATCAGTTCTTAAATAAGGTGCTATATGCGAGGGAAGGGGCCAAGAGCATCATTGACAGGGCGTTTGTGGACTTACCATGGCAAGTTCGGTTAGAAGTTGATGGCACTGAGATTGAGATACCAGAGGTTGTGTCAGAGTCAGTGAATTGTGATTATTACATATAGACCACCTGCCTTACTACATGGTTGTACTAAACTACTAGTGGCTATGGATCCTTCAGGACTCAGAAGGTGTGCTGGTCGCAAACACACCAAGCTACATGGGAGGGGTTGACCTGTGGCAAAATGAGGGTGAGAATCCTGAAAATTTTGATCCACAGTCAATCCATGACAAGATGCTTGAAGTGGTTAGCATTACAGGAGCATGGCATCTGGGAACACTCCAGGTAAGTGATCATAGTTCAGAAACCTTTGAAGGATGAAGTAAATTAAATGGTGGAAACTTAAAGAAAGAATTACTAAACTGCATCTAGGTTGGACTTTCTCGGGCACGGAGGATCGCGCAAGGTCAGTCGATCAAGATACAAACGTTTGCTCCTTTCCCTGTCCAAGTGGATGGCGAACCTTGGGTCCAGCAGCCCTGCACGCTTAAGATATCCCATCACGGACAGGTTTATATTCTGATCATACTCTTCCACGTGCTTTGGCATCATGCGAATCACGTACAAGGTGAATTGATGGTTGATTGGCAGAGTGTTGTTGGTTTCCTTACTCTTGTTTTCTTTTTATTGTACTCATCAGGCTTTTATGTTGAGGAGGGCAATTGAAGAGCCACTTGGTCATGCTGCTGCTATGATCACCGACGTGCTTGAGCATGCCGAATCCAGCCGTGTAATCACTGCTTCGCAGAAGAAAGCCCTCCTCCAAGAAATGGCTCTACGGCTGTCATGAAGCAAACGCCGGCGATAATTCCGACGGTGCAGAAGAATAGTTTACTATGTTACTGTGCTGTGCCCTGCTTTGCACTGTGGAGAGGTTCCTATTGGCAGCAGCGATGATTATTAGGAGGATCTGTGATCCCAACAGGAGCTCTAGCTCGATCATGTTTGTCGCAGCAGATGCAGCCCGGGGGGACGTGTCCACGTGTACAGAGAGTTTTTGGTTATGTTCACATTTTGGAAATAGCAAGGCAATGTTGTGTGTACAGGTACGTGTGCTGTGTAGAGCTCGGGTATGCATGCCCCTTGCCTTGTTCTGCGCTAATCTAGTTACGCCTGCCATTCTGTGCTCGGTTGGCTGGATGGTTTTTTGGGGCTGTGTCGCAGCCACTTTGGGTGGTGCCCCACATGTAAATGAGATGGGCTTGAATGCTTGGTTGTAATGAAGTTGTACAAATAAGTGGCACGTCAAAGTGAATAGTGATGTCGTGATCGAATATGCTCGCTCCAGTTCACAGAATGTGACATGAGCTGCCGTGCCAGGGCGATGCGGCGATGCCCATGCGAATGCGATGCATGGTCGCATTTCGGCTGTTCCACAGATACCTTTCGGATGTGCCGTTATCTTTCATCAGCTGCTTGCTTAAATGAGATTATATATGCAGGCCCGTTGTACCTAGGAATCTAGGATTGTGTGGCTCTCGAGCGAAACAAAAAATGAGGCCCTATATTTTAACAAAAAAAAAAGATAATCAAAATATATTTAGCTTCCATTCTATTACGACATTTATTTTCAATTATAAGAACTATAATAGGTATTTAATCCTCTCACCAAACCACTAGACAAGAACGCACACTATTATCCTGATGATTGAGAAGTTAGATAAGAATGAGATTGAGAAGGCATGTGACAACAGAAGACGTTCCAGGAAAGCTGAACTATAAAAGATCAATGATCATTACATAGCATAAAAACTAAGTTATCGCATTAAATAATACTGCAAAATAAAATAATGAAATTAAGGACCTCAAGTGTATTATCTCCCATACATGTAACATGTCTACCCTTCAATGTAACAACCACCAATTGTGGTATCATGGAAATTATTAAAATCCTTGAAAGGGTGGCGACTAAGAATACAACCTCATGATAATGTGTATATCCGTGTCTTGGTCGGAAGAACGGTGGTGACAATTAATATTATCCTCCATATGTTTCAAATTATAAGAGGTTTTGATTTTTCTAGATTCATTATTTTACTATGTATCTAGACATAGTGTATATCTAAATATATAGTAAAAGTTATGTATTTTACTATGTATCACACCATTTACTTTAGCCCAGTTATATGTTTCCTCTTGTTTGAGCTTCTCTTTATTCAATGTTTTTGTCCTCCGGATAAAACAATTTTAACAACTACAACATATGCTAGATGTAGTTGGGTGGTAGCAGCACACCAAGCCAAGGGCGGTAGATGATTTACTTTTTCTCATGAAATAAAGGTAAATGTGGATTTAGAAATCGACGCATGAGAAAGAGGATTAAAAACACTGTATATTAATTTCTCCATATGCCATGGGACATCTTTAGTTTGAGAGGGTTTGCACCCTTATAAAATTTAAATTTTAACATTTTTGTATTGGGTATACTTTTTTAATATGGGAAAACTTAACTTCTCAATCCTGCCTCCACTTCTACGCAAATGGCGTGCATGAGCGGACGACTAGCCGGCCGGGGGAGGCGATACGTGCTTGAGCCACCATGCCTCCTCCTCCTACTAGTGCCGACGCCACCACCTCTTTGGGTCCGGGCAGTATAAGTTTGAGTGTCATCTTTGGGCCTGAGATACGCTGCTCCAACCGTCCGCCCCATATTGCTGACAATGAGATAGGACTATAGGAACAAGACTGGCACATGCAGGTCCTATTTGGATGCAGCCCTACGAGACATTGCTTACCAAGAAAATACATTATGGCCCTGTGTGTTCAAAATCGGACGCCCGGGATCGATATCTGGTATAGACAGGTTTGACTAGCTCCCATACAAATAGGCATGCAATGCCTATATATAAGGTTTATAAGGAGGGTATTTTTGTCCAATACCAACTATCCTATAAGGTTCTCCAACTTATTTTAATAGAGCTTGCTAATAGAAGAGACGGAAATGTTAAATAGGTAATGTAATTTAGATAATAGGACCTAGCGGCAAATAGCGAACTCTGAAATTTTAAAGAAAACACACCAGCGGCAAATAGCGAACTCTGAAATTTTAAAGAAAACACACCGTCGATTTAATAAAAAACATATACGGCTTGTTTGGTTGGGGTAATTAAAAGCAGGGAATATGAGTTTAGAAATCTTTTGTTTGTTTTGCGGGAATGTGAGTTTTGATGGAAAGGAAAAGAGGAGTTTATAGAGTCAACTCCCACTGATCAATTCTCTAGGGGATGGGTGGGAATTGGGTGGGAGTTATGTTCTTAATATAAGAAAAGTAGATCTTCACCATCCATCATAATTTGCCTTTTAATTTCTTCCTCAAAACCGCCACACCAAAAAGGGGATATGAATTCCCTCTTCAATTCTCTTTTCTATTTCCCTTCACAAACCAAACAAGATATTAGAATTAAAAGGTAATTTTCACCTTAATTTTCTTTATCAACTCCCACCACTAATTTCCATAGCTCTTCCTTGCCAGACACACCCGTAAAGATTATTAGTGGCCCGGAACCTTTGCGGCGGGATAATTAACTTTTTACCATTATAACGGATGGCGCCTCCTCGAATAGCAGCTTTAGGTTTGACGCTACGCTTTTAGCAGCTGAGAGAGAAAAACGATACATATTTACCACTTGTGCTCACGTGGCACGCCAGCTCCGCTGTCCCGCTCGGATTCGAGTCAGTAGCCCCATGCGAAAGGTCAGTCATGCCCCTTCCCTCATTGCCATAGATTAAAAGGATGGACGGCTCAGGATAGCCAGCAGACAGAGATACGTATACTTGTATTTTTAAGATATTTATTTTTTATTTTGCAAAGGAAAAAAACGTATATGACATCATCATGATGTCATGGCTCAAGAGCAAAGCACTGTGCATGGCACACGCCTTAGGCCGGCGTTCAAAGATGTCTGCGCTGCGCTGCTTTCACTTCACGCTGCTCGCTCCTCGACCACCGCCCGCTAGCGGTGTCCTCCATCCAATGAGCCGCGTCGGTGACCTAGGGAGCGCGCGCACGCGCGGTTCCGCTTAAGCGCAGGTGGCGCGCGTGATGAGCGCCTCGAGCTTCGGTGTAGAGCGTGGCGGTGGCGGCGGCGGCGGTCGAGCTCTGCGCGACGCAACAACGCGGCGTCGGGGCGGAGGTGACGGCGAACGCGTGCTGCGTCGGAGCAACCGGCGAGGAGGTCGGCGTAGACGTGGTCGAAGCCCATGAGTGCCGGGGCCGTGCCGGCGGCCGAGGCGCGAGGCCGCACTGCGACGCTGCGATTGCGCATCGAGCTTCTCGGCTAGCGCGAGCGCGAGGAGGCGCGTCGTCGCCGGGCACGCGCACGGCGTGGGAGCCAAGGTAGAGCGGGCCGAGCAGGTGCACCGCCTCCGCGTCAGAGAGGGAGCGGTAGAGGTTCGCCGCGCGCGACGTGGCGTTGACCACCTTGAAGGACAGGACGCCCATCGTGTCGTCGCCATGGAGAGCACCTTGTGCACCAGCGGCTCCGCCACCATGCCTCCGGCCTCGTCGTCAGTAAATAAAACCTTTTGCTTTTGCAGCGAAAACGATTTCGGAGACCAGCCAGCCAAGAAGGGGATTTGAATTGGAACGCTTTGATTTCGTGCCTGACTGGCTAACTGCCCATGAACTGCACGAGCTCCTCCCCTTCCTTACTGTGTGGTGATGGTCGGAGGTTGAAGAAGAATATAACTTGTGGGGCCTGTGTGTTAGTAATCGGGGAGAAAGAAGCCAAGGGCAGGAACGGTCATTTTACCTGAGCCTGCTGACTCGGATCCGAGCTGGATAGTGGAGCTGGCGTACCACACGAGCACACGAGCACAAGTGGTAAATATATATCGTTTTTCTCTCTGCTACTGAAAACGTAACGTAAACTAAAGATATTTAAGGAGGCGCGATCGGTTATAACGGTGAAAAGTTAATTATGCCCTTTGCGGCTTTACCCACCGGCTCTGCTTTTCCCCCCGCATACTCTCTCTCTCTCTCTCTCTCTCTCTTGTGGTTCTCCCTAATCCCGTGCTGCTCGAGTGCGCTGTCTACGTCTCTACTGGCGACGACTGGGCGACCGCCGCCGCCGCCGCCGCCCTACGCGAGGTGCCCAGATCTCCATTTTCGGGCCCTTCGCCGGCGACGAGCACCCACCAGGTTCGCCCACCCCTTCTCTTCCGTTCCTGCATCTCGAAACCACCCAAAACGTAGCTTGTTTGTATTCGGAACTGATCTGATCCAATTACGAGTGTAGTGTACATGTCCTATGCCTACAAATTTCGATTTTTATTTTTTTGCAAAAAATTATTGGGTGTACATGTGTACACCCGTGTCCTTCACTGGGTCCGCCACTGGTTAAGAGACGGAATCTGTTAGTGATCATACCTCTGTGTGCGGTTCGAGCTGTCGGTAGTGCCGCTGGGATGGGAATGCCCTGGTTACATGTAGTCGTTGCAGACAAACGGTTTTCATGGTCTTTTTATGCCATGAAATGAAATGCAAGTGGAGGAAATAAGGAGGAATGATCGTTACTGAATTCCGCATTCCCTAAGAAAATTATCCAACTACTGGTAGACTTCATTGTGAGATCATGCTTGGTCACGTGTATGCTCATTCTATATGCATATATAGCTTTGGCATGCTAAATATTTTCCTTCCAAGTTATTTTTCTATATGCATAGCAAAGCTTTTATTTCTTTCAACCTTCATGGGTGTACAGTATGGTGGTGTGTCACCTATTCATGAAACATCCTTGGGCATGCTAATTTTTTTTCCTTTTTAATACATATATAGCTTGTGTAATTCAAATTGTTAGGTTCGATGATTAAAATTATAAAGTCCTTTATATGCGAATGTTCTGTTTTTGGTGTTTTTGATCAATATACGCTGAACTGCCGACATGGCATTGGCACTGGACTCTTGTGTCTATTGTACCCTGAAACTAAATACCGTTTTTGGGAGATGGGATGGGATGTTGACCTCACTAATGAAGTTGGTGCTACAGTAGAGATGCAGTGACATAGGCATTGGCAGAGGAACATTTGTGGATATAAATGGTCACGATATGTTGTTCATCTCACTGGTGAAGTTTGTGCAAGAGTTGTTGACTCTGGTTACATTGATGGGCACAGGCAAACTTGGTGATTTGGGCACCAGGGCTCTTGTTGATGGGTTGATGGCAATTGAGGGTGTGCAGGCAGTCACAAGTTGTTGGGGGTAAATAGGGTCGACTTGTGGTTCTAGTCCATGAGGTAAATAAGCCAAGGTGTTTTCAGACAGGAGATTAAAAAACAGATTTAGTATTGTTGGAAGATCAGTAGTTCAGATTTTGCAATTCTTTTTTGCCGTACCATGTTGTGGGTGTGAGTGTAGGTGTGGGTGTGATTGGAGGTGAGGAACCACAGGATGACAGGAAGGAAAAACTCATGGTGTTGCTGTAGAGACTTGATGGTAGTGAATCGATCTATAGCATGTTGACCAAGCTGCTTATTGCTCATTTTGTTTTGTTTTTACTTTTTTTTGTAGAATTGTAACATTCACTTAAGGGGCATTAAAGGACTTTCTATTGGTTTTCCTTCTCTATGTAGCTAAAATAATTTGCATGTCATAGGGAGTTCCATTGTTGAATAGTTCTTGGATGTTCATTTAATTGTATGTTTTGTCTTTTGGCAGGATAATATGTTGTTCACGCATGAGGCAAATGCTGACCAGTTCGATCTTCATTCTTATGGTAATCTAAGGGGAGTAGACGCTAGTAGAAATTCTGAGGAATCCAGTTTTGGAAATGACTTAAAGGATGGTTCTTCAGTTTCTTCTGAGAACTTCAGCTCCTCTTGTCTGCCTGGCGAGAACTATCAATCTGCTACAATAGATCATGAAAAACGACCTCTTTCTGATGTCAAGCCATGTCAAGTTGCTTGCAAGCGTCCAAAGCAAACAGATCACCATACCTGGTTATATTCCTTTGAGGAAGACCCTTTGACCAGTGAAGTGGGGATATCTTCTCCAGGTTTTGTACTCTCCTTTCCTTATTTGTTCAGTGCTCTAAATAATAATAATTAATCCAGAAGATATCTAGCTGCAATTTTTTTTTCTTTTCAGCTTTAGCTGATGGATTGGTTGAGACCAAACAACCGAATGACATTCCTGCAATTAATGGCGGCACAGCCTGCAGTGGTAGTTCAGACACCCCTTGCCTTAATCATGATCAATCAGTTTTAGTGGAAAGCTTAGATGTACCTGATTGGGCGACTTCTTTCCCTGGTTATTTTGAAGACTGTGGGCCAGTTGCTACATATAACCATGTTGATGACATCGGTTCGCCTGTTCATGAGTACCTCCCTAGAAAGGGTGTGCCAGTTGGACCTGAGCACCAGGCTGACATTCCAGAATGGAGGCCCCGAACCTCTATGATTGTACCTGGTGCTTCTGAGGTTTGTGCTGATCTGGATTGTAGTTCTGCTTCCACTTCAGAGTCTGTTCCCACAGGTGATGACAAGTGGATCAGGTACTGTGTTGTTCCGATGACAAGCTGCTCATCTCTTGTTGACTGGGCTGGAGACAACAAAATAGATTGTAACTGCAGTGATGAGGGTTCTATGAGGTGTTCCAGACAGCATATTATTGAAGCAAGGGATAGCCTCAAAATGAGCTTGGGACAGGACAAGTTTTGTGAGTTAGGTCTTTGTGAAATGGGAGAGGATGTTGCTCAGAGATGGACTGATGAGGAGGAGAAGCTATTCCAAAGAGTTGTTTTCTTAAATCCTGTCTCCTTGGGCAAGAACTTTTGGGATCACCTTCCGGATGCATTTCCTGGTAAAACTAGCCAGGAGCTTGTTAGCTACTATTTTAATGTTTTCATGCTCAGGAAAAGGGCCCAGCAGAACAGGTCAGACGTGTTGCGTGTGGACAGTGATGATGATGAACTGCATGGTGAACCTCTAGTTGAGCGGGAGGAAGGGGATCCTGCATTTGAGTCCTCTATACATGAACATTTTGTCAGCAATTCTCTGCCCATGGATGATGACCATAAAGAGTTTGAAGGAGCACAGTTTGATGGATCTTTGTGTGAGAAGTCAGTATACAGTGCAGTTGAGTGCAGACATCTACCAAATAAAATGCCTGTGGATTCAAATATGGTGAACACTGCACAAGATGTTTATGACCAAGATAATGGAGCTCAGTATGCAGAGTTTCACATGCCACTGCCGAATGATACTTCAAACAATCTTGGGGATCAAAGTGCATCTGTGTAGGAGATGTTGTGCCGACAAGACTTTTGGCTGTCGACATGTCCAAGACCTTGAACAACAATCAAATGGATAGCCGAGACATATTCAGTTTGAATCTGACATCTACTTCAGATGGGTGCTTGGCATTGAGATGCTGTTTTGGCCATGGTCGGAGCTGTAAATTCAGCCACATCTGGAGATGATAGTTCATGAAGTTGTACATTCTTCAACTACTATGTGTTTTTTGCGGCATTTTGTTAGCACATTGGGAACCCAACTGAGCTTCAATCTGCCACCCTCCCCCACCCCCATTCGTCAGATCAACCTTGTTGTATGTACCATATATTGTATTTTCATTGTTGTATGTTCATTCCAGAAACTGGAATATGTAGATCGTAGAGTTGCCATTATCTGGATTTCCTGATGATTTGGCAGTGGCTTTGCACCTCCTTGGCTGTTAGAGCACGCTATCCTGCGATGGCTTTCATTTGCACCAAATCGTTTCATGCAAATAATGTGCTACCGACAGACATTAATTGAATCTATTTGATGTGATACGTTTGTCACGATTGCATTATTTTTTTTTAAAAAAAGATGCCCAAATACACTAGGGTAAGGAATGTTGGTGAGATCCATGCGTTGCTTTGTTTGCAATATACTAGCACATTTTGCAGCATATATATACACTTGAGGTAAAGAGTCAGATTTGTCGGTGAGGTGAGGCTATGATGGTGTGTGCACAAGATGACAAGACACATGCAAGAAAAAAAAACTTGCCTTTTTGTGAAGAGTGTATCCCAAGGAAGGATACCTGTTGTGAATGTTATCTTGCTCACTAACCTTTATTTTAATCTGTTTTAGAAAGCTTGCTCACTAACTAATCAACCATCCCAATAATTACAATCTACAAGCATATGTCATAGTGGAGGTACTCTTTTAATCCCTTTTCACGAAGGTAATGATACACTGAACAAACAACCAAAAAGGACAGAATAAAGAGAAGTTTGCTGATTACAGTTCCTTTGCTGCAAGCTTGCCGTCGCCAACCTATTTGGTCAATGCCTCCCGATTTTCAGATTTTTACTGGCCACTAACCATCTGGAGCACAATACCAGTGGTAAAGAGCGAAGAGATCTGATTTCTTAACAGACACACATATTTGTTGCAGATCTGGATCTCTGCAAAAATGGTCTGGCTCGCTTGCTTCAGCTGGGGGTCGAGACATGCATGTGTTCTTTCGATGAGCACAGGTCTGTTACTCATGCATGTGTTCTTTCGATGAGCACAGGTCTGTTACTCCGCTGCAACCATAAATAGGGAGCCCCCTTCACACCTCTCAAATCTCATAAATAGTTAGTACTTTTCTTTTTCTGATATCTTATTCTAGACTAGAGATACTCCTACCTACCATTCTGTGAAGGCTGCTCACTTCTTCCGGTATTGGTGTTTCTGGCGTGTCTGCCATCCCAAGAAAGTCATCTTATGCTATGATGCCAGTTCTTCAGGCTCTGCACTTTATCCAGGGGCATCTCATGCTGCACAATTCTGGAGTATTTGGCAATGGATACCATAGAGTTCCTCAAGCTGATTTTTTTTACTAAATTTGAAACAAATTGTGTTGAGAAGTAATCTCTGTGGAGTTAAAGGTCCTAGATACATAACCGCTCAAGATATAATCTTACCATCTTCCATAGAAATAGTTGATACGACACAACCTATAGCTAACTCGAGAGAGCCCATTGATTTTTGTATTGAGTTACAGATCTAGAGAGATCGCAGATATCAAATAGAACCCAGAAGCACTGAGTTTCCAAGACGACAATCTAGAGCTGGAAGCTGGCTTCACTGCACCAATTACTGTATGTTTCTTATAAAATAAAAGAAAAATAGACATCAAGTTTTAGCAGCATCAAACATCAAAATTGTGAAGAAGAAAACATCATCACATGACGTAGTTCCTAGATCGATAATGCTTCTGTGAGGGCGCCTGTCCGAGCGTGTCCACACCGGACGCGCCATTCTGGGCCTACGCATCGATCGACCCAACAACAATGTGCGGCCAACTCACATCACTCGCTCACTCCGCACCCAAGCACCCAGTCCCTCGCTTCCTCCTCCCTTCCGCGGCTTGTGCCCCGTGCGCTACCCCAACTCGCGGCCATGGCCACCTCCCTGACCGGCGGTGGCGCGCTCCCCCACCCCGACGGCCTCCTCTCCCACCCCGGCGGCCCCTTCCCCCACCCCGACACTTGACGTGGAAGTTGTGGCCGCACTGCGGCAGCGCGCAGGCCTTCTCCCCGGGCTCGAGTCCTCGTCGTTCTCCGCGCCTGCATCGACCACTACCACCGATATCGCGACGAGCACCGCAGAGTCAAGGCCGCGGGGCGAAGGCGCCCCTGCACTGTCGTTGTCGCCGTCGCGGCAGTCCTCGTCGCCACCACCGGCGATGGCCAGGCTCCAGAGCAACCACCGGCCACCGCTGGCCGCCTTCGCCGAACCCTGGCAGCCGGAATCGACTGACGCAGCCTTTCCCTCCCCTATATAGCATATGTATGTTTCAAGTGTTTCAGGTGTTTCAGATGTATGTTGCATTTGTTTAATATGGATGTTGCAAAAGTATATCGGGGGATATTGCACATGTTGCAATTGTTTTAGAGCACTACTATAGATTGATTTATCACTGTCACCACTTTCACTGCCGTAGCGATAGAAGCGACGGTGTGATACTTGCACCGTCAGTTGGAACAATAGCGAGGCCTCCTAGGACTAAAACCGGCAGTTCAGACTTTTACCATCGACGGGTTAACGATAGATGCGGGAGTGGTATTAGGGTTACATTTCCTCCGTCGCATGAAAAGCCGGGCCGACTGGGATACGCATTTTGCCCGCCGGCCCTAAAGTAGCGTTTGGTCAACCGACGGTAAATTCAGCGTGAGTGTTGAATTGCCTCAATTTCCAAGGTCGTCAAATCACCATTACTTCCGCCGCCTGAAGCCTAAGAGCCGCGTACCCACTGCTCTACATATACTTCAGGCCCGGTGCCCTCTGAAACGACCCCTCTAGTTCATCCATCATCCCCTTCTCTTCCAATCAACAAACAAAATGTTAGACAACCCCATCAAATTTCCAAGCACCGTCATCCAGCGAGGACGAATTGCCTTCCCACCACTCCTCCGAGGAGAACGTTTCCTCCTCCGACGGGATGTCTGATTATAGTCCTCCGTGGAGCTCCGAGAAGGATGACCTGGAGGAGGAGGACGAGGACGACGCTGACTTCGACGACTCCGACTCCGACTCCGACTTCGCCTTGCCTCCTCCCAAGCGAGCGAGGCGAGCATGATCTTCTCTGCAAGAGGATCATATATTTAGATTAAGTAGTTTATAGTTAGTATAAGTAGTTTTAATAGTTTAGTTAGTTATTATGCTTCTGGATGAGTACAATCATATACTCGTCTAAATTGTATCTATATGTTAGTTATATATAATCAATCAATGAAAAAAATTCTATTCACGCAGATTTGATCTCTTTAATGCCACCTTTTTTATATGAAATGCAAAGCAAGTTCTTTCTAATACTACTTCCTAATGCCAGTGCACGGATTTGATCTCTCGACGAATGTTTTTTATTTTTTCTATATATTTGTGAATGAAAAGGAAAAAAAACTGTCATGTACGATTGTGGTTGTTTCCAGGAGAATCTAAAAGCAGTTTAACCATTGACAATCGCTGTATTATAGCGTTGGATTAGCGTGGCAATGGTCGGCTTAATACGAACTCTGTTTAACTTATCCCGTGCCATCCGTTCTCGCTGCCGATCAATCTAGACTGTCTGTTTGGCAACAAACCTAGAAGCGCCCGACCCATTCCCAACTCCCCTTGGGTCCTGTCGGCGCCTTGGCGGTGGTTCGACCAACTAAAAAACCCCAATACGAATCCATTAGTTCTCCCCACCCATTGTTGCTTCATCTTCATTCTCCCCACCCGTTACTTCATCTTTATTTTGACCCATCGCCTGTACTTGACCTACCTCGAGCACCTTGCATTGTCGTCGTGGACAACGCCCTGTGAAGGTTAGATGGATTTGGTCACCCCCTGTTTGCATTTGGTTTCAATTAGTTTTGGGTTTGGTATCAGTTTTGTTCATATTAGGAATTTCTTCATTGCAACAGATGTCTTACTTGAAGAAGCCATTTCAATGCGAGTAACCTTGTGTTTTGGCAGTTAGGGGTGGCACCAGGACCCTAGATGTTGTTGTTTGCTACTTAGGGATGGAGCATTTACCCGAACCGACCGTTGATTGTTGAAGTTGTTGTTCATCACCTTCTCGGACCACAAAATTTGACAAGAATCGTTCAAGACCCTGTTGTGGAGAGATTTTTGTGCTTTGCAGTACTGGACAGGAAGTAGACATACTTTATAGGTACAATGTGTCTGTGGACGGAGATGCTGGTATCTTCGCTACGGTTCACTACCTCTGGCTTTCGAGATCGCATCAACCAATTGAGTACCTTAGCAACTGCCTACCCATCTGACATTAAGTCTTAGAATTTGTGAAACTTTTATGTTAATGGAGTTTATATGTACTGATGAAACCTCTAGATTAGTATGTATGAGTACTGCATAATCATTGAACTATTACTTCGGTTGAACTGTTAATTGAATTAGTTGGTCTTGATTGTGGTCCACGTGTACACCTCTATGTAAGCGTAGAGGATCCAAAACAGGCCTTCTTCTATAGGCGGATAGTACCCTGAACCACCGGTGACACAACATTTCATCTTGGTGGGAGTGCGAGGGTTTTGAAGGACGTTTTGGTGGCTTGGCGGAAGGCAAAAGCGTAGACAAAAGACACCTGGGCCGACCTCTTCACTCAGAGTGTGCAACACTTTGAACCCTGACTACTCCATGGCTGCCTCTAGCTCCAACTCCTCCCAGTGGTTGCACTACTAGAAATATCCACTTCTATGACAAATAGATTTCGTCACTGAAGGAACCAAATTCATCATAATTTCAGTTTTATGACG